ATTTTATTCCCTAATAATAGATGAATTAATACATATATTCGTATGTATGTACATATATATATATATATATATGATCAGAAAATATTTGGTAATCGTTTCATTTGCTCGTTTGACTCTGTACAAACATTGATTGATATGTATAATAAAATATATTGATTGGAATTTTTGATGAATGATAGACATGTGATTATGGAAGGATGAGCGAAACCGATCGATTCAGTACAATATTAAAGTAAACGAAATACAATAAAACACGATGAAAAGCAATGAAACGCAACGCGATGAACGAGACCCGATAACGATTCGATAGATAAATGCAACATTCGTAAAGTATCGATGATTCTTCTCGGAAGTAAGAAAGAACATGGAAGAACAAATTATTCAAATAATCCTAATTCTTGTACTTTTTCCTTAGACAGTTTTTGCCCATACCGCTACAACGAACGATTCGATATCACATTCGTTTATTCCCCTTCGGATCCGGAACAAGCCGTTCTCGCCCCATTGCTGGCCCCAAGAATTGACGACCAGCTGAAAGGAAACGTACGATCGATCATTTCATTATTCGTAAATAATACGAAATTACTCGAATTCCCAACATTTACCCAATATTTAATCGGCAAGCCACGTTCCGTAGATACATCTTCTCCCCATCCAATGATCCTAACCGAATGATAACCAGACTCATAAAGCTCGGCAGTCGGAGCGTGCTTGTATATTCCCGACTCATATGAGAAAAAGTCTTGATAGACTTTCATGGTGGCTGAAATGTGATTCATGCTCAACGAATATTCGATGAATACGCCAATTATTATACCTTGCACCGGGCCCGATGTTAAAATTTCCACCATGATATCGGTCTCGTTGCCCAACCGATAAGCCGGCCCGACCTTGTACAATTCTTTTCGAAGAGGATTGGCCGGAGGACGGCATCCAGCAGCTTCCAAGTTCGTTCTCTTTTGTAATCTGCACTGTTCGTACGCACCTCTCCACGGGTAACACTGTTCATCGACCAGGCTTCATTCACGAGAAAAAGAAGAAGAAGAAGAAAATATTATTATCATTCTTCATGGACCGAATGCATGGAAAAAAATCGATTTGGTAGGAAAATATTACCCGAATTTTCGCATGAACAGCCAAGCTCTGTCCAAGTAACCACCGTTGCAGGCTCGTTGCCCTTTCTTGTTGCACGAAAGCAAATGCTGCGCGCTGAGAAGGACGCTATCCGCACCCTTGCTCATCACGGCAAACCTGTCCGAGGCGACCTGCGCCGTGGAAATCGCCCAAGATGCGCCGCACCATCCTTGATCCTCCACGTCGGAAATCTGGCGGCGCCAACGGGTCCTGGCGTCGAATTCTCGGGGCAGGGATTCGGGATCGTAAGTCCGCCGCACCGAATTCATTCTGTAAACCTTTGTTAACGAACGATCGATCGGTTACGATCGGCTTCGATTTTTTAACTAAAAAAAAGAAAAAAAATCCGAAATTAATACCGAATTCGACGGGTTCAGGGTGCCCAAGCGAAGTTGTACACCTTCCGACAATCTCTTGCCCCAAAATTCCGAGTAATTTCGCGCCCTCCAATCGAACGATATTGAATTGACTTCGTCTATCAGGCTTTGCTCTTGCAGGCATCGATTCTGTTCGCAAAGTACCTCGGCGAGTCTGGACACCGCGGTACATTTGCTGGAGGAACGAAAATAAAAATAGGAACGAGGATAAAAGACACGACGTTGCTCGAACAGAATTTTTCTAAATTAATATTTTATAGGAAGAGTCGAGGAAGAAGTGAAAGTGTACGAGCATACACGTACCACATGTTGCAATTTATCTTGAACACTTGGCCATCGTTGTAATACTTTCCCTGGTGGTAGCATCCTGTAAACGAAAAATGAAGGCAGTGAAACGAAATACTCGCCCGAATCTTAATAAATACGAACGTTTTATCGGTTCCGGTGGTGGCTCCGTCACATTCGTATCGATCCCTTTGCAATGACTCCAGTAATCTGGGCAGCAATCTTCCTCTCTGAATCGATCGCAGAACTCATCGCAGTAACAAAGGCTGCCGAGAATCGGGGCGTTGCAGTCGTCCTGACGATCCGGGCAGCATCCTGGATATCTTCTCGCGCAATACGGGCCACTCGGAAGGCCCGAATAATCCGGCATACCGTTCACGATCGTCCCAACCACCACCAGGAAAATTCCGCATCCTAAGTTTTCCCAGGATCGCATTTTTCCACGCGTTCGTTTCCTGCGATACATTCAACAAGTTGGTCTATAATTTTTTTTTTTCTTTAACCCAACGAATATTAAATATTGTATACTTATTCTCGATCAAAATGATCGGTGCTTTAAAAAGTTGACGTTTTTTGATGATTTAACGTTAGATAAATTTATTATTGAATATATATAAAATGAAGAAAATTTTGTAAAATTTCAATTACAACTAACTTAAAAAATTAAAAAAAGCTTCATTTTTCTCGTGTACAATATATTTCTGAAAGAGTTTAGTAAGTTTTCAATGTATCTAATTAATATAACCAGAGTTTAAAGTAGAGTGCTTATCAAAAATTATTTTATGGAAAAAATAAAATTAAAACTTTTATCTGTATAGAGACATATCTTATTCAGCTTTTCCTACAAATCTGAACTTGTTGATAGTGTTAGTACAAGGTTTTCTTCTCGCCATTCTTGATACGCAGCTCTACTCTGTAGCTAATTAGAATAAAAATTCTTGCCTTGAAATATTTTCACCCAGTTGTTTCTTTATGTTACAAAACCCAGACATTTATTCCTAAGCTAAGTCTAAAATATATTGAAGTTTTACTGCTTTATTTTTTCTCTTTCGAAAACTGCACACGAAATAATGCTTTCTTCTTGAGTTTCTCTCTCTCCACTGTTATTATTTGTTATTACTACTTTTAATTGTTATTCGATCTGGAGATAGTCTTTTCTTTGTACCGATTGTATAATAATAATTTATCGAATCGTCGTCAAAATGATCGACCGCGGTACAAATATTTCTTAAGAAAGAAAGAAAAAAATTAAAAGTAAATACCGAAGAATATATTGTATGCGTATTTTAGGAAAAGTTTGATAGCGATGTGAATAACTTGAAATATGTTTAAATATGTATAAAAGTTTGAAAACGATCAATTTGATAGGCTTAGTATTAAACACTAACGATTGCTGTGAAATCAGATTCAAATATTCTATCAGTGAGCACGATAGTTTTTAAAAAAAAAAATCATATAAAATCAATCAGTAAAGATAAAATTTCAAAATTTTGCACGCACACCACTAAAAATATTGAAGTCACAAATCGGCACATATCGGCTAGTGTGAATGCATGATAAAAATATCATAGCAACTTCGTGTGACTTCGGTTCATCATTCGACACGATTGGTTAATTCACTTGACTTCGTACGCTTGTTTTCTGCGATAGATTCAACAAATCTACAATTATTTTTTTTAACCCAATGACATTATATTTAAATACTGATTGCTGTGAAAGTTTTTAAAAAAAATCATATAAAATCAACCAGTAAAGAAAAAATTTCAAAACTTTTTTGCATTATCACTAAAAGATTGAAAGCCAGGAATACGCTATCGTATCGGCTAGTGTGAATGTATGATAGAAATGCCATAGCATACGACTACATCATTTCATGCGATTCGGTTAATTCGCTTGACTTTATCTTCTTCATCCAAGGGCATACGATGTAGATAAGAAGAAGCGAAGATCGAGCTCTTCTCGTATTTTCTTCTGTCATACGAAATATATAAATAGGAAAATTATGGGCCGAATGGTTCTCCCATTTTCATTCTCGATATCATTGTGTCATCGCGTGAATCTTCTGCATAAACGTATACAGATATACGATAATTGGCAATGATCGACGATACAACTGTGCCAAATTGCACGCAAATTCCTTCTTCTTTTTTTTTTTCTTCTTTGGAACGATTTCAAACGATTTCCCTTGTTGTTGAAATAGAGAGATTCACCGTCTTGGAAGAAATGGAGTAGAAATAGACCACGCATTGACCGTGAAACGAATGGCACCGCGAAAGAATGGTTGAAAACGACTTATTCGATCATCGACGAGACAAGAAGAAGAAATCGCGTCGAAACGATTGTCGGCGATTACATAGAATGTAATAATATCATTTACGGAACGGTTATGTTATCCAACGCATTATAATATTAATGGAATTTACTAGACTGGAACATGTCACGTCGCCGGTTTATTAAATCTCGGTGAATCATCACATTTCCTAAACTATACCGACTATTTCCTTCCACGTACGCAAATATATCGTTTCACGACTAGAACTGAACACACGTTCGTGTGTCCGAAATCTTAGAACTTGCAAAACGAAACACACTTCGCATTCGAAATTTCAATCTCAGGCAGAGAATTGCAAGCGTTTTGATTTGTATTTCAAGCGGTGTGCAGTGAGTCGCCGATCTTGACCCGTTTTCAGTTTCATTAGAAGTGGACCGAGAATGATAACTATCCGACCGAGAATGTACGCGAATCCGCACGAAAATTAAGAGCAATTCCGGCCGGGTATCACGTTCGCTCTTTCAATGTCTCCCGAAATGTCGAAACAGATTCCGCCGTATATTCTCGATTTCGATGCTCGGCGTAACGTGAACGATCACGCATATGCAGCTATGACAACACGCGTGACGTGTCGAAGCTACCGTGTCAATGATTTTCTTCACTCAATGAATGCAGTCAATGGAAAAGTATGCGACCTTTTATTCGGCCGAAATGACGAAAGCATGGACGAATAAGAGGAATCCTTCCTCCGATATCACCTTGATTATCGAACATTACGATAATTGATTCGATAAACAAACATCTTCGAATTATCTGAAAGTTTCAAAATTGATACGACGCTTGATACATTGTTATTTTTTTCGATGAATTTTCAGCGCATCGGGAATGCATGCGTCACTCTGGAAAAAAAAAAAAAGAAAAGAAAAGAAAGAGAGAAAGAATTATTCGAATTATTCGAGTATCACCGTAACGCGGAAGGATCGAAAGGGCGCCGATTCTCTAAACACGTCACGATTAAAATATCGATCAGGTTTTCAAACGGAGCGTAAAATAAACGAAAAACACTTTTGAGAACGATACATAGTCGTTAGCCTTGTTAACGACCGTTAAATTTTTTTTTTTTTATAACGAGAATGGATCCCGAGATGATGTTGCAACAGGATGAAAAAGATTAAGAAAATAAACGGAATATAATTATAGTGACTCGTATGCGATTGGAGGCTATTTTAAAAATGACTCGATTGGCGAAAAGAGGTTGAAGAAAGAGGTTAGTAGGCATCGTATATTTTTAAGCCGATTTCTTCGGGGTGCACAGCATTTGTTTTATCGATAAAATAAAACGAACCAATGATATTCGTCCATCTGATATTTTTTTTTTTCTTTCTTTCCAACCTTGTCCGATTATTTATTTCCGCATTTTTCTTCGATCAATCTTTTTCTCCGTCTATTCGATCGCGATCGAAGAAAGAATTCCTCTGGCTATTCCTCCTCATCTCGTTGCCCTGTTTCCATCGAAATTTTCAACTTCGCCCATATTCTGTTTCTTTTCTTTTTTTTTTTAAATTATATATATATATATATATATATATATATATAT